CATTCCAATCCCTCCTGTGCAAGTTTCTGGAGCACTCCTGGCCTGACAAAAGTCCATGCTTCAAAGCGTATTCTTAAGCCAATTCTCAATCCTCCTCATCCATCCCAGCAACCAAGTCTCTCAAAACCAGCTTGTGAGTTACTGTTCTGTAATTTTGAAGCACCTGAGAGATGTTCAACATTCCTAAGCAGCCTTCACTATCTAATGTGGAACTTGCATTTTTACATGTGGTGTGTGAATTCATCAATTTCTCATCCTTTGTTATTTGCTTTTCAGGTACTTGTGAGTGCACCTGTCACAGCATTTTGTTGGCCATGATGAAGGATGTCAAGCATGAACAAGGACATAGGCTAGCTGTGATGGAGCTACAAGTCCAGTCACTAATTAACCACTTTGGCCTCGGGAGTAAAACCTCTTCCTTTGTGGGTCATGTGAACCTCAGATTTAAAACACCAGAAGAAGTGTCACTGTTCTCTGATTGCATCAAAGCAGATGAGGAGTATCGAGAAGAATCAGTGAGTAATTTCTTGAATTTCTTTTTGTGCTTGCTGCTACTTCATCTTAAAACTCTGCTGAACAAGACTTAATTGTAGTGTGCAGCTCATAACAGGCTGAAATTCCTGTTTCCTTCCTTTTGAGGTATGCTTTTTTAACTACAATCAAGCTTCTGCAATTGGAAACTAGATTCCCTCCATTCTCAACATAGTACAAGCCATTCTGAACAAATACTGTGATCCATTTTTGGATACCACCCCAAAATAATAGGAGAAAATTACAGAGAAACAACAGCACATTAGTTGAAAGCCCCTACCATCACTCTCAATACACTGATTAAATCTTTTAACACCCTCCTGTTTGCACTTAGTCCAACATGGGCAGTGTGATTTGCTGACAACATCCAATTGTGCGTAACCTCACTTTGTTGATATCTCTTGGTCTTTATTAGTGTCACACTTGCTTTACATAGATTTTTGAGGGCTGTTAAGCATGGTATCCTTTGCATGCTACACATTCTTCTCAGTTCTTATAGTTTTTACTGTTTTTCTCTGAATTGCCAATCGAACCTATGTCACAGAATTAGTGATTCAGTTAGTGAATAGATTTCCATTGGAGTGGTGCACACCAAAATTTCTCCTGGAATAGGCATTGTGTGTATGCCATAGATCTGTGAATCTCCATGTTACCACTTCTCTATTCTTCAGTAAGATATTTACTATATTTCTTTTGTTGCAGGTTGCTATTCTGGCATCTACTATCCGAAATATGGAAGGGAAGAAAGCAGTCTCAACTCTCATGCGTTGACTCATGGATGATGGAGTTGCCCTTCACTTTGTTTGCAAGTCCACAAGACACAAGGAGAAGCAGGCCCTTACAGAACTGGGCATCTTTGACCTCATATCAAGTATGTTTATTGAAAATTCATGTGATCAGTGCAATTGGATTTCTCATTCCTTAAATGTCAGTTCTACATTAACCATTCAGCATGTAAAAGATTATCTTATTGTGGGAAACTCAAGTGATCATCATTGAAATAAAGTTTCTATATTGCAGAAGCCATTGATTGCATTGGAAAAGCTGCTTCCATGTCTCAACAGGAGAGAGCCATCTTTGTTGGTGACTGGCTTCGGCAGGCTAAGCAGCGCCTTCGTCAGAAGGAACGTGCACAAATGTGATTCTTTGTGATTCACTTGTTCAAAAGTGATTTTCAAGTGAAGAAATAAAAAATTATGAATCCTTGGTCATATGTATCTATCACATCCATGTGAAATATACAGATTTTCATTAATTTGCTGGCATTAGACCTGGCAATCTATAATGAATGCAACTTCTCTTATGAAGCATGCCACTTTGAGAAAAAGATAATGGGAGCCAATCAAATCATTCAACACAAGCCTTCTCAGATACGGTATTGAGGCCCATTCATGTTGATTTTAATTTCATTTAGGAAAGCCTTATTTTGCATGTCACTGCGTGTTCACCAATGTGTGGACATGAAAATCAGCTTTGATCCTCCTGGTCAAGGTTTACGGTGAAGAGATATACATTTGACAAGTTATTGACAAGGGCCTTGCAAGTGTTAACGTGAAATTGACGTAACATCCACGTCAATATTAATGTTGGAGAAGAGGTACAAATTTGACAGGTTATTGATACAATGACCTTGTAAATACCAGCATGAATTTCTTGTTAAATTCACATATCAATATTGATGCTGATGGAGTGGTACACAATTGACAAGTTGTTGATACAATAACTTGTCAATATGAACGTGAGTTTTACGTCATCCACTTGCTGTTGTAGATTTGTCCACATCAAGTTGATATGAATTAAACATACTTGTGCTGCCTGGGTAGTGTAACACACAAAAAAAAACCATCTCCGGGCAAGGCATCCTTAGAACTAGAGCTTAGGAGGATGACTCAGTTGATGCAGCTGACAAAAGAGGCAAGGAGGGAGGTACTTAATATGTACCGATATCAGGAATATCTTACCAAAAGAGGAAGCAGAGAAGAGGGTGAGGTGTACGTGCCAGCTCCATGAGCTAATCAATAAATATACTGTTGCCCAGCAAAGGCTGATGATTTATTCAAGAATGACGTAGCCATAAAAGGGAAGCATGGACGAGCAGAAAAAAAAACTAATAAATGAAGTTCCTATTAAAATTTGCAGAATGGAAGGCCTCATACACTCAATGCTTCTTTTGCGCAAAATATGCAACTGGAAAGTTTTCACCTAGGGAAGCAACAGAGGCATCCTGATGTATGATCCTTTTTAATACTATATTCCAAATGCATCAGGAGTATGGAAGGAGTCAACGAAAACATTCGGCTATGCAACATTTTCAAAGAAAAAGTTTGATTTCAGCAAACTAAGACCTGTCAAAATAAGTTGGTGTGAAAGGGAATATGTGCCTAAACTTTTCATGACCTTGCCAGAGAAAATATAAAAGGGATCAAATTAGTTCCCCAAAACAAAACCAGCATTTTTAAATGTAATTGGAAAAACAACATATACACTATTCTCCCAATTAAAATAGTCCACATGCAGGCGTGAAGAATGCCTCAAAATGGATTTTCTTATGAGCATACCGACAGAATAAACATGGAACATAGAGCACTAAGACTGTGGATTAATCGTCAGATTGACATACTGAAGATAAAAGGATGTTCAAGATTTTATTGGAAATGTACAAGATGAGTAGGATGCTACAGAAGCTTTCCATCTCCAGCATCTTGAAAGCATTGGTCAGGTCACCAGATGATCTCAGTAAGACAGCGGTTTGTGGGGGGGGGAATAGGACTGGGTAAAACATGACAGCAGAGCAGGCTAGACCTTCACAACAAAAAAAAGGTTTCCAAACGACCAGCAGAAAAAAAAGACTAGTTTACCCAATACAGTACTCTACAAACTAAGCCTATTAAAGACTACAAAGGACAAGCCTCTACATACAGAACTTGGAAATTACATTGGCAGAAAGGAATTAACGCAGCTAAAACTTGTCGACACTTTAGACCAGGAGGGAAGACATGAATGACTGTGCAAGCCTAAGACAGATGAACCTAGTGGGAAGAGGGCGACAGACTGACACGCCTTAATATGGAGTAGCATGTAATCCTGTGCGGATGCAATCCATCACTGGACTATTCAAGACCTCGGGCGCTATGTGCTCTGCAGGGAATCGATAGATATACTTTTAAAATGTCAAACTTTCACGTTTCAGTCAAGCTAATGAATTCATAACATGAAGCAGATATGACTGAAATCCAGCGTTGTCTCAGCAAATAGGGCTGGAGAAAGCGACGGAGTCCGAATTTCTCCAACGCCTTCAGCGAAATTTCAATCTTATTCATTGGGTTGAAACACAAGAGAGAACCTTACGAAAGTTCTCATCGCAAACGCATTCACCCTTAAACGACCAAGCTGGGTCAAATTTGACCAAGAGCCTATGTTACAACATGCGAAACTTCGAGATTTGGTAGCTTAAGGGTTAAGAATAACTGAGAGTGAATAACCACATTTAAAACGTACAAGGTCAGAACGTGAGAATAATTGCGAATAAAGACTCAGTTTAACAGTTACGTGAAACTGCAGAGAGAAGTCCAGAAGCTGAAACCAGATCCATCCACACCAAAATCAGGGCGGAAGGAAAACACTATAATCGTGAAATCCGTCCAACTGCAAGAATGCACCACGAGATACGAAATTATGAAGGGAGGCGATTTTTCTAAGGCGTGATATGGAACCGACACCGGGTCCAGACGCCTCCGAAGCAGATCTACAGCGCAAGGAAAACGCCACATTCGGGAAACCCGTCGAGAATTCGAGAATGCACCGCGCGGTGGGAATGTCTTGCAACGGGGTGCCGGGGTGCCGAATCTTTGCCATGCAGGCTAGGGCTAGGGCTGGAATCGGGTCCATGCGCTGAAGGAAAACTATGTTCGGGAAATCTGTCGGTGAGAATGATTCACATGATGGGAACTTATCGCAATGTGGGGTTGTGAGTGGTGGTAACGTTACCGGATTACCGGGAATTACCCCAGTGTTGCTTACCGGAAAATTACCAGTGAATCATCTTTTAATGTTTTTCATCAGTTTTTATCCCAAGAAAAATGCATATATCTTCGAGATTCACAATAGGCCTAGGCCTAACCTACAGAATGCCTCCTGGTCGAACTCAGGCTATCCGTCTTTCCGTCAACTCGATCTCAACTCATCCCTGACGGGTCCGAGTAGGCCTAGAGGGGTCTATATTGGGGTTTACGAGTCCGTGCGGCCTATTATGGACTTATTTTTACCCTGGCGAACCATGAAGCATGACTTCTGCTCCCAACTCGACTAGGTCAGCGGACGGACTGCCTCCAGAGTGCGCATGCGCGTTGGATGCGCATCCGGTGGTTCCAGTGATGTCGGAAAGGGATTTTGTCCGCGTCCCCCAACGCGTCGATAGGCCATCACTGAAAAAAGTTCCTTTTCTTTTTTGCTCATCCCGTCCCATGAACTCAGAACATAAATTATTATTCGTAAGAATAGAAAGACTCAAGCACCGATACCGAAGCGGAAGCCTTCGGGGAATCTATCGTAACTATTACCCGATATCCGGCAACCCTGGGGAACGCGACTGAAGCCCGCGCTTAGCTAAAAAAAAAGTATTTCTCTTTTCAAAGCGAAATTGTGCAACATAAACGAATGGTATAGAAAAAATAAATATCGGAATCATGCCTTCAAGACAATAGTCTCGATATTCAATATTCGATTGTCTCCGTAACGTGGAGCTTCGAATTTGCCGGAGCGATTCCGTTTCGAGAGCGTTAGAAGCTTTCCTGATTTCCGGATGCTCTCTGAGAGGAATCCGGAGAGGTCAAATCAAATCTGGAAAGGGGTTCAAGAAAGGGAATAGGCGCCAGTCGATTTGCATAAACGGAACAACTCCATTTTTCTTCTCTTCGTCGGCCGAATTCAGGGGGGGGGGGGGGAGGTGACGTCACGATGACGTCAGAGGATGACAGCCTCGAGAGCCCGGAAGCCCGCCACGTGCTCGCGCGTTCCATCCCGTTGCGATGGGGCTGGGTGGAGGATGCCTTAGGCCGAGAGGAGGTCGGTGTTTCCTCCGCATCCGCTTGGGACTGGCTTGAAATTTTGAATGAGCCGCTGAGAAATGCTCGGGAATAAATGATGTGATAGGCCTAGCCTCAATGTTTTTCTTCCTGGACGGACAGCTGACTTTTTCCGTTTATTGTTATTATTTTTATTATCTCGGGGTCTAGAGGTTTCGTTTCTAAGCAATCGTCTTGACTGGGAAATGGCGAGGCGACCGTTTCTCAATGTTCTCGCCATGCAGTTTCGTTTTCACGAAGTGGGGACAGGGTTCGTATGTGTCGCGGTGGCAGTTGTCGCGCTCTGCCCGCCGGAGGAGTTGTTAGGCCTAGCCGCATGACTTTTGCCATTTTGGTGATCGGCATTTTCATTTTTTTTTGCATGGATTTCAGTTAGTTTCCATGTTTGGTCTGCAGGTTTTGTTCATGCGTTCCAAAGCGTCAGCTGTTCATGGATCAGCATTAAGGGTATAAAGATTAAAGCTTAATTTCAATGCCCTTGATCTCTTGATTGCTAATGGTTTCAGTGACTGTGCCTCGAAGTGTGCAATGCAGTTCATCAGGCAACTAATTAATACCAATTATTGTTGAAGGAGAACTTGAGGTTCCCCTGCATGGTACCCAACTGGAATTTCTTGTTTAGCTGTGATGTCAAGAACAACTATAATTAAGGAGACAGGGATGAACTTCAGTTAATGCATGGCAGTCTTAAATTATGAAAGGTACAGGAAAACTCCAGCAGAAGTATTTCATATTTTGGACCAGCCGAGTCGAGGCACTGGTCGAGTTTGGGGGTTGAGAATCGCATCGAATCCATTGGGTTGGGTTCCAATAGTTGACCCCCAGACTCCCATCCTTGAATTGTATCATTTTCTTTCTCTTCTTTGCACCTCCCATGTATCTACAAGTGCAGGGATATATGCATGATCCAGCAGTTTACATGTGCACAGTCGATTTTAGGGGCAGAGCTAGGGTGATATCACCCTCATATGACTTTTATACATAAGGCTGGCACCTGTGTTGGTCCCATGGCAGGTTTAGAGATGACAAACACACAGATATTAACTTGTACTGCCATTGGGTCATCCAGGTCATTGGGGATATGCTAGAAGCTAGTTTGATTAATTTATATTCAAATGTGGATCTTGTTGACTTTGTACTTTCCTAGAGCATGGAAGTCACAATCTTCTCTATCAGCTCATTCACCAGTAAACCTGCAATTTATCAGTGCCATTGCTCAACTTTATGTTGTACTTGTAGTTTCCTTCCTTGCTAGCATTATCATTTCATGCTGTTTTTTTTCAGCAACTGAGTATTTCATTTACAGATGGCATTGATATTCCTGGGTGACACATTGAGGATCAGTAGAACCACCTCTTCTTCTTCCTTTGCAGCCTGACTGCCATTGAAAGCACAAGCAGCCCTTGTGCCATTTCTGCCACACGAGAGATGCAAGTCGGCTAAATGAATGAGATGAGGCAATCTTGTGCCAAAGCACAAAAGTGTTACCTTCTTAACCTATTTTGTTCATGACCCCAAAAGGCCTATTTAGACTAATTTGCTTTCCTCCCTTTGTCATTTTGTACACATGATTGAATTTAATTGCTCCTAATTGTTGCATATCATAATGTGCAAGAATCTGTAGCTCTATGCCAGATTTGCAGTTGATCTCAAATGACCTCAGACAGATAATGTTTCATTGAAGCTATTTAAGGAGCTAGAAGGTGTAGCATATTCACTATATTTTGCCTTTTTTGCAGAATGCAGGGGCAATTAGGCCTTCAGTAGGTCATCAGAGCATCAAAGCTGACCGTGTGACGTCCAAACCTCAGCGAGGGGCCACGACTGCACCGGCTTGCATGCCAACGAGGAAGGAGATGGATGTCTTCCCTCTCATCCCTTGAGGTGATTTGAGAGACGATGGCTTTACGAGATGGAAAGCGTTTTAAACTGCGTCTTCTCCTTTGTAGAGCATACTCGTATAAACAGTGGTTAGGTCCCATCCGAAGACAAATGTTTCTAGTTTTTGAGAAGTGCATAGTCTCAAGTCCTGTTCATATTGATAATCTTCTGATCATGGATACTTTGGGTAATTCTAATTATCCTAGGCCCTTTCAAGGAGCAGAAACAAATTTGCTAAGCATGTGAAATCAAGATGCCTTTGTGATGAGCTAGCAAACTCAATTTTTTGGGGAATGTTCATGGTCCTAACATTCCTTATGGGTATTCTGGGTTGAAAAAACTCATGCACATGTTGGTTAACCCCTTACATGACAGTGAGAAGTGCATGCTGTCATTCATAATAAGGAGCAATATAGTTTTTATTGCATTAAATGTGAGTTATACATCTCTACAATGGGATAATGTATGAGGAAGTGAATGGAGATGGTAAAATATCACCCTTTATGCAGAGGAGATTCAAAAATGTTTAGGTTGGGCAAGGGCAACATAGAGGGGTTTTTGCAATGCCATTATGAACCAATCCCAGACAGAATGCTCAAGACCCCATGGAGAGGCTTGGTCTGCAGTATTGCTCTTTACCCAAACCTTGTCAATGTCAATCTTCTCACTCATAACAGTTCAAAAATTGTCTCTCTAGTCCCTAAAATGCCATGCACTAAGCTATGGCCTCACCCTTCTGCAATGCAATATTTCAGAACAGGAAGCTAGCATTGACAGCTGCATTTAAATTTTCTTGACATGAAAGTTTAATTCAATTTTTACTCTCATCAACATCAAACTTAGGCCTATATCAAGATCCTGCTAAAACCAAGTGCAGCAAGAGTGGATGCATGGTGCATGGCTCAACACATGCCCCGTTCCAAAGCAATCTGCTTCCTTTCCATTCTGTTACTCATCTTATTTACATATATTTTTGAGGAGCATTGATTGGTGACTCAAGCTGATGAACTTATGATCACAAAACTACCATAGTAATTTTAAGTCATATGAGAGATGCAGTTGCATACATTAACAGTCAATATGTTTGTGAAACCTACAGCAGGAACACAAGGAAGGTTTCATTCAGAGGTCAGTGGTATTCTCATAGCAGTTGCTTCTGACTTTGTATTCATTCTCTTTGGACAAGGGAGAAGTCTTTCTATGACAGTAGACAGATTGCATCTGGACAGTAAGCCAAAAATTTCAGGTTGCTAGATTGATAGATGTTGCTTATTTGGTCATTTTTGGAGAAGTTGTTTTGAAAAGGTCTTCATGACTCTCTTTTTTTTGGCAAATGGTTCACAATGTTTTGCACACAATTTATTGTAATAATCTTGTAATGTATTATAATATTTCATGCCAAAATTTTAAATCTATACATAATTGAGGCATCAAGGCACACTAGTGAGTCCTTGATTGCTTCACAGCATCTCTGTATTTGTGCCTACTTCTCTGGATTGACAATTTCTTTTGAATGTGGTGACAATTTTCCTCCACCTGCTGTGGGATGATCCAATTGGATCATCTCACAGCAGTGGACTCAATCTCAAGATCCTCTCTGCTTGCTCTAGATTGGGGTTCAGAACTTGATTGATCATCTGGGTCTCTTCAAATTTCCATTGTTTGCATGCAGCATTTTCCAGTTCCCTTTCCTCTGATGCACTGAGGGAAGGAGGAAGGGAGAGAGGGAAGCAGATTAATCTGGTATGGCTCCAGAGCACTAAAGTCATGTTAACAAGGCTATTATTGGCAATGGAGAATTGGCATTGCACTTGTCTTGGCTGTGGAAATGAGAAAGATCCATTATCCATTTTTTATGGACTGCTGTAGTGTACACTGAATCGTGCAAGTATTCTTCTATGATTTTCCTCTTGTGGGTCTGTCAGCTTAACAACTTGATGAATACTGGATCTTCAACATGCAATGCTTTGACACAAGCATGTTAATTTCAATGTATCATAATTAGGGCTGGGTCAATGGGTGATTGTGATCTCCTTCCCATTGGTTGGTGACAGTGCTAGTGCCTATTGCAACATGTTGATGAAGACCTGAAATCTATGCCATGAAATACTCATGTAAATTATTGTGAGGCTTGTCAGTCTATGTGAAAGAAATCGCCTGTCAAGGAAGAAAAAGCTGAATGCCAGCATGTTTCATGAAGAGGAGACTAATCTCCCTCAGTCCACTAGGATATTTACCAATGATCACCTTACAAAGCAAAGGATAGCCCCTCACAATCAGGCATCTCAGAAAAACTTCCAAAGGGTCTCGCATAGAAAAATCCTTCTCAGGACACGAGAAGGGTCTCGGGCATTCTTGGTTCGCTCCAAAAATGATATTGATGAGGTCCCATGACCACGAGGTCTGTCAATGAGCAGATCCATTGCGGCCACCAATCTTTCATTGCTTTCATCAGAATCCCAAACCCTGTTACAACGATTGGTCAGTGAGTGAATAGTGTCGGCATTAGTTTACTTTACTCTTTCTAGTCTTGACAATATTTTCTCCTCCTTGCAAGATTTCATTTATGGAAAGTCTTTTTGCTCTAAAGAAATCCTAAGAAAAGCCTCTGCATCTTGTATTGGAATAAACATATCCTAAGGATACGCTTTGATGATCTCCACATCTTTCTTGCTGGAATTAAGGAATGACCAGAAGTACTAATTATAACCGAAACTTGGCTGAATGATGATGAAACTGATCTGTATGAGATAAATGGGTAGAGTGCAGTTTTCTGTTAGCTGACACGAAAAGGGGTGGTGGCAGTGCAATGTATGTCGGATAAAGTTTGGAGTTCTCTGTGGTCAAAGCTGTATGTGGACCCACTTATGAAGAGCTTTGGCTGAGGTTGATTTACTTTTAAAAAAATGTCAATTTATAGATGGCATCTACAGACCACCAAATGAAGAGGAGTTGCTTGAGTTTCTGAGGAGAATTTTAGACCTGTATCATTCCTTCAGCACAAAATGTGTAATGGTTGGTGATTTCAACATGGAAATTCTGTCAACACATGAACTTGAAAACTTTTCATCATCAATCGATAGTGTAGATTTTCACAAAGTCACAAATTCACTGACACTAGATTAAAAAATGAGAGGGCCTGTGACAAATCTTTACTTCTGTGATCTTATATGCATTGTAGGCCCTACTACAGCAAGCACAATATTCAGTTAGCTGAAGAGCTATCACATCACCGTGAAACAAGGCATTCCAAAAAATTTGATGGATTTGAAATCCAGAACCAACTATGACCACAGGTCAATTAATGCAACTTCTGTGAGAATATACAATCAGCTTCCCCTGGCCCTGAAGGGAATTCCAAGTCTCAAGAAGTGTGAAACAAAGGACCGCTTTCTTTTTGATCAGATTTAATACATCTTCATAAAAAATGGTAAAAAATGAAATAAAAACATTGACTGTTTCTACTGATTCTCACTTGATGATGGTAAATGAACCCCAGCAGGCCTGGACAAGCCACTGGGTTTTTGGAAAGCCCTTTGACTGAAGCAGGTCTATTCCCTTAACCATTCTTTTTTTTTTCTAATCTTCTAATCTCTCTTCTCCCAAATTCACTCACTGTCTGCCTGTATTTATTTGTTTTTATGCTAATTTTCCTAAATTTTGTGCCTGTGTGCACATCATGATCATCAACTTATCCTACTCCAAAGTTCAGAGTGTATATTTTCCTTTAAAAAAATGTAAGCTGATCTTGCACTCAAATAGACCATTATGGAGCCATGTTCTATTTGGTCTTTTTTTCAATATTGTCACTCTGCATGTTTTCAGAGCAAAGATGCATTGACCCAAACTATCAGTGAAGCATTGATGCATTAAGAGTGATGAAGTCATTTCACATCTTGATTGAGCCGAGGTTTCACATCCGTTGTTCCACACCTTGATGTGGGTGCAGACCTATTTCTGCCTTCTGAATTTCTCTCATCTGTGATTGAGGTGGGAGTAGGGGAGAGGGGAATGGGACCATCACAACCTGATAGACCCATTCATTTATTGCTGTTTAGAATCATTTACCATTGCACATTCCCTTTTTTTTTTCTTCAGCATGCTCTTCTTTGGGCATCGGCAGTTTGCCAACCTACTGATGGCCGATGGCACTGATGGTGCCATATTAGCAACCTTTACAGTTGGTTGCCAATGCATTGGTATGGCCCTAATCATAATGTACTAGTATAATGATATTTACAGAACAAACTGTTTTAGAGTCATTCTTGAACTTTATCTCACCTTGACCCTTTGAAAACCAAAGCAGGAAGTTTTCTTGATGCCCTAAAGTTGCTCAGACTGATATCGAGAATCTCATCCAACTAACTGAAGCTCTGAAATCAGTGTCTCTGTTATAAGATTTCTCAAAATTATTCTGTGATGCTGGGGCATTGCCACCCCTTTGTATCATTGTTTCAGTCTCTGATGCCTGGAATACTTTGATCTGCAAGCATAAAGAAATCTGAAGATGAGAATCTTCAGGATCCAGAGGCTCCCCTCTATGTCTTTCTTCCCCTATGAAGAATGATGTCTCAGAGAAGTGGTCCTTGCTGAAGGATGATACCTTAAGTGAGATTTGGTCTCCTTGATGCTAATTGATCCTTTGCTGAACTCAACAATTTGTTTTGTTTTAATTATTTATTTATTTTTCCTTCTCCCAAAGAGGGAGAGAGAGAGAGAGACAAGGATTATGATCCCCTTACTGCCAGGAGGTCGTTCAGTAATGGGCTGCCAGGAGCAAGCAGATGCCTCCAAAAACCTCTCCTGAAGACAGTGCAGTGAGTTATTCTCTTAAATCAATCCTCAGGCTTCAAATGCTTTATCAATTTCATGCTGAAATCCTGATACCTCAGACAAAAACAGGAGACAAATCCCATCCATTCTTAGTTATTCTCTTTACCCCATTTAACAGGCTGACTGCCACGGCTATATTAACCTGGTGACTTTCTTGTGCCAAAGTCATTTTTATATTCCTAGGGGACTCCTTAACAACATTCTTCGATCATCCCATACTATTTGCAATTTTAGGTGATATTTTGCTGACTTTTTAATGAGGCGTTCCAGTGTGTCTCATGGCAAGTGAAATGCAATTAGGTGTATCACACCAGGAGGGACACTGGTGGGCCTCACAAGTTTTAACACCATATGGGGCCATTCTCAAAGTTTTCCTTGTTTGAATTGGATTTCGTGCATGCAATTCTTTTGCAATTAGTGAAATGTAAAGTGGTAAGGATGGATCAGGGGCCTGTTTCATGGAATTTACAAGTTCCACAAGATACAAGTAATTACAAGGGTTATGTTGTAGTCGTGTGAAGGGCCAGCAGTGCCAGCTGGAATAGTTGAACAAATAGACATGACCCTTGCAAGGGTGTAACTTGTAATTTGTAGGACTTGTAAATTCCATGAAACAGGCCCCAAGAGAGATGAGAGAGAGAAAGAATGAAGAAAATACTACATTGATTGAATTGATCTCTTTGTAAATCTACTTTATATGTAAAAGAACCCTTCACCATGACCAAGAAGCTGACTTCCCTGTGCCATGAGGAGTACCAGTAGGCCTCACTACATTTATTTTCAGAACCTCCTGTAAAGGGTAAATGTAATTGAGGAAAGATCAGCCTATGAACATAGTTCACTTTCCTGCCCCACGGCCTCACAAAGCCTCTGCAGCACTGTGGCGCATGGGTGAAACGCGAGGCACAACAAAGGAAAAGAGGTGGGGCGCACTGGTGTGTCTCATGGCGCAGGAAAAGGGACTCAGTGAGGCACCTGTGCGCCCCATGGCGGTCAACCTGTTAAGAATGCATGATGGGAATATTCCTCCCTATTTGGAATCCTTGCTGAACGTATGACAGCAGACACTTGGAGTCACTTTCAAAGCATTCATGTTTACAATATAGAATTAAATCAAAACCAATGCATTTTATGCATGAAAAGGTGCAAATCACCATTCACCAGTTATCATCTACTAGCCAAAGTATGAATAAAGTTCATGTTTCAACTTGCACCTTCCTGTTTAACATTTAAGTCTCTAATGAATTGCTTGTTTTTACTCTAGGTTGCAGGCTATAGAGCAATCAATAGAACATGAATTGTTGATTGCTGCATGGCAAAGCTGTTGTCAAACTGCATTTTGAATGATAATGTTGACTGGTGTACTAGGTGTAAAATTTCCCATTAGAAATGGGTAAGCTTGGGCTTTGTGTACTGTTTTGTGTACTTCTTTGTGTACAGACATTCAGTTTTCCATAAAAGAATAACAATAAATTTTTCCAAATTATATATTCAGCAGCTTCATCATGAAATTTAGTCATTTTCCTGTTATTTGGTTTAACAATTGTTTGTGATTTTCCTTTCACAACAGCATCTGGAGTTCTAAGGAGTTTTTTTTTCATATTTTAACCATATTTAAATTTATGCATTCATCTGTCCTCTGATGAACACAGAAGCTGTGTTTTGACACAAATTATGTTGTCAGCCCCTTGGGACATATATGAACTAAAGGATTTTCCCCTCATTCAGGAAGCACTCCTGATATTGCTAAGTTTTCGAAGAAAATTGTGATTCATGAGTATACAGATGAGCCTTTGGCCATTATTTCCTCATCAGTTCTGCACTGTGATGTATGTCCAATAGAATTGGATGACTATGGTGCAGAATTCCATTAATGTCTCTCATCCTTGCCAAATATTGCTTCCTTACTAAAATGAATTGAGTGTGTTAACATGGAAGTCATAAGAAGCTAAGAGGGAAATGCATTAGCTCTGCAAGTTTTCATAAACAATTCCATGTGCTTCTGAGTGAATGATGACTAAGGTGTAATTGAACATTTAAAAAATTATTATTTTCATATGAATTATACTTGGATGAATGGATTCATCCCGTTTCATTTGAAAAATGGTTGATTTTCAGAGCAAAGTGTTTTTATGTCTACAGACCGTGAGTGATATTCATAAATCACACTTTATATGCATAGAAAAATATCCTAGGTCTCTGAGTATACTGTGGAATACCTCATGATGATAACTTGATTGATTCTCACATGGTTGTTCGGTACCTTCTGACTTTCATTTTATCTGAAATTCTCCCATAGCTGATGGAAACTGGAAATCCACCTTGAGCAAAACGGAATGGGACTGGGCACGACCCCATTCCTGCAGCTTCAGTGGGTTTTGCTAGTCGAGGAAGACCGTTTTAAGGGGCATCTGCATCCATGCTGGAGGACAGCAACAGACCTGGGAAGAAGGCAGGAAGACATCTGGGAATGAACTTGGCAACCTCTGCAGGTGTCTCATGTGATGTGAATCTGTTTTGAACACTTTCATCCATTTTTTGGTTTTACAGCATGCCAGTTTTTTCAGTGAATCAATGGATTCATTGGTGGCTTATTTGAATTTTCTTCTCTACAGTTGTCGAGTAATAGTCAAATGTGAACTGTTCTTGAAGCTTGACCCTTCTCTCCCCTGGTACATGAGTCCCAGGCAAGGGGGAGAACAGGCATGCGGGATTGCATGATACTGATTGTCTTTGAACAATTGTCTTCATCTAGGAGATGTTAAGAGATGTTGCCTTAGCAACCAATTTATCAAGCTTTTTTTAAAATATATAATTAGCATACAATATGGCTCTTATTACATTGCTAGATCAGTTAGTCATGATTTAGTGATCATCCTTTAGTGAGACAAAACTTAATCGCTGTTCACTTTTATCCACATGTCATTCCTCACTTTTTGTGGAAATGGCTTAGGCAATTTTTTCACTTATCTTATTAAATCCAAGGTTTCTTGCACAGATGATGGAGGTAGATAACGAGTGCCCATGGAAGGGTAAAGCATGAGAGGATTCAAGCATTCATGACAGGAGGTTACAGCATTTTTCTTCAGAAGGATGTCATTGGTGCTTCTGTACCCATAACAGAGAATAATTAAATGGCTGGATGCCCATGAAGGAGGCGAATATCTCAGAGGATACATCTCAACCACAACCGTAACCCCTCTTGTCAAATGTGACTGCCATTGTATGCACTTGTGGTAGATGCAGGTTCCAATTCTTTATCAAGTCAAAGATGTACTTCATCTTGATCGATCATCTGCCATTATGCAAATGCTGGCATATCTGAGTTCCTGTGAAATATGTGAAGCCATTATCATTGAAGGTTTCACTGTCATTGTCCATTGTGTAATATTGGTTTACTTAGTCAATTGTGTCACTGTGGTGGACAGTCTTTAGGCAAAAGCACGTTCAAAAAAAAGGAAAGTCAAATGAGACAGATACACAAGGTAAACCATACCTGTGTTAGGAGTAATGCCTTCACATTGCATCTTCACGATGAAGTACATCTTCAGGTGCTTTTACATATGATGCTTTTCTTGCAACTTTCTTGCAATCTTATATTGCAATTACTGATGAACAGGGTTAGTTATAGGAATATGCTATCACCTACCATTTGGGGAGGTAGGCTAGATTTCACATATGAAAAAATGGAGAGGAAGTTTTTGGGACTCTCCTTAACCATCAACTGGTATCCTTGTTTTTTTTTTGTTTTTTTTTAAGTGTATCTGGTATCATTGGCTCGAATTGACCCTAGCAATAAAACTCTCAATAAAATTATGTTTCTTGAGAGGATAAGTAATTTTTTATGGCAGCTTCATGGCTATCTTCACTGCGGTGAGGCAGCAGGTGGTAGCGTATTTCTAGGACCAACCCTGACATTGATAATTGCCAAATATTGGTTGCAATAGGAGCACCACGTGCAGAAGTACCTGAAGCTACTTGTGAAATGCAACAAGAAGACTTCCCCCTAGCACAGGTATGGTATACCTTGTGTACCTGTTGTATTTGACTTTTCCTTATCCATATTTGACTTGGAAAACCTTTAAAGGAATTTTTGCTTTCGGACAACAGAAATTGTGAGTACTTGTGTCACAGTCATCATCCATTTATAATTTGAAATGAAGTTTTTTCAATAATCATTTCAGCTGATGGTGATGCTCTGCCATAAGGTTGTGGATGAGTCACAACTGAGCCTCATAGAAGTATGGCCAAAGTGAGGAAGGAAGGGAGAATGAAATTGACAAGAACAGGGGCACTGTGGAACAGATTCTCTCTGTCTCTCCACATGTGCACTGGCAGATGATGGGACCCGAAGCTAATCAGATAAGTGTTTCAGTTTGCTTTCTATGTAGTACAAGAATAAGAGATTTTGTAGTTTTTTGTCATATTAGGTCAGGTCAGGATAGGTTTGACTTGTAATAGTGAATAACACAGTTAAATGACAAATTCCTAACTAACCATTCTTGGAGCTACCCAGAGTCAATCAAGTTTGGAACTGTTGACATCTGCTGGTTTCTTTTTAAAATGTTCCAGGTCTCATCATTATTATGGCTTTGATGACATGACATATTTGTGAGAGTAACTCATTGAAAATTTATGAAAGATGTGCAGGTAGTTGTGAAGGTAGCATGTATAGCCATATTTTGTACAATTAATTAGTCAGATTACTGTCAGTGGCTTAATTTCAATTTGTCAATTTTTTGTGGATAGTGTATTGAAAGTGCTTACGTGATTAAGTTGGCTGTCTTAACATGCTGCTTTCTCATCTTTGAATAAAATATCAAAGGTCGATAAAATACAGCAATCATTCAGTTTCTACCAATCCTATTACACCACAGAATGCTCGGATGTCTTGGGTATCTAGGCCCCTTTGACAGAATGTGCCACGGAACTCTGAGCTCGGCGTGGAGTCAGTTGCAAAATCTTCCAAACACGAAGGAGATCTTGCTCTCACAATGTGCTGCTGCACTACTCTGAAGGATCCACCAGTGGGGGCGATTGGAGGAGGGGCATCCAGTCGTCAACGAAATGCCTATGGCCCATCGGATCGTGCTGGAGTTTCCATGCCAGGGCTTGTAAGTACTGTTTCATTGTGAAGGCAGTGTTTCTTGGGAGGGGGATAGAAGGTTTGATAGTCTGCCTGTTCACTTGCTGAGTTGGCTTGTACTAGTTGTATGCCATGTCACGGAAGAGCATTTAATGTAGTTCAAATCAGACAAATTACAGTGTACATTTGGTAGGGAACATTGCATTCCTGGTATCTGCACCAGTGCTGACCCTGATGCACCTGGGAACTGTGCAACCTCATTTTTTTACATGAATATAAAGGAGTCTTCCTAGTCCTACAACTATTGTGGTAGCAAAAAAAAAGCAACAAAAAAGATCAAGGTAATCTCCAAAAGTACAAGGTAATCTAGCCCTCACCCACATTGTAGGATTTGTGATAGCATTATATCTATCCATTGCTGAAAAAGTAAGTATGGCTTTATCATTATTTGCATATGCTTGCTAACCTTTGTACTCTGGGCACTTGCCAGGTCAGGAATATGCCTTATTAGATTTTCTTCATGCCTTAGGTAAAGTTCAGATTTCCAAAGGCAAGAAAGGGGCTGATTCCCTTGTTCATATTGTACTGTCCCTGAAAAACATAAAAGATATGCCAATGCTAATGCAGCAAAAAAGGGATGGGGCAATGAAAATGGTCGAATAAGGTCCAAGAGGATGTACTGGAACATGTGTTACACCTTCTTAGAAGATGCTGGCAAAACACTTGATCTTGAGGAATGCAGTGATTCTCGAAGTCAACTTGTCTGCCAGTTTTGATGAAGTGCTGATTAAAACTGCTATAGGCCACACCATAGACATGTGTATACTATGTATAACTAGACTGGATAGTCTAGGTAGATACTGGGGACACCCTGGGACCTTTGATGCCATGTTTTTGGGGTCAAAGACAAAGACAGTCCCCATCCATATGTCCCATACAAACTTCCCACTCACATCTCCTGTCCACATGACATACATACCCCCAGTATCTTTGAGACTTCATGCCTCTATCCAGAACTTCGAGTCCACAAGCTTCACCTTTAATAGGCAAGTACTTTCTTTGGAGTTATGAGGTTGGGGACCATTCTTTGGAAATTGAACATGCTGGCCTAGGGCAAAAACTTCAAGACTGATTCAGAGGTGCCACCCGACTCGTCTCATTCCTCTACAAGAGTACCTCCAGACGCTAAGGGTGGCAGACTGGATGGGTGTCAAGTAATAAGTACTTAAAGGATTAAGAAAATATTTATCAATGTCCAAATCACCTGACCAAGACCTACTCAACAAATTTCTATTAATTGCATATAGCTAGGTTCATTTCACATTTGGAGGTGCTCCTTTTTGGAGATACTAGGAGATACTTAATGTAGAACACACAGGCAAAGTACAAATGTTATAGGTTAGATGAGGTAAAATTAGACTTTTATTCCTGAGTCCATTGTGTCTTTTGGCAGTCTCATATCTGAGTGCTTAGAAAAATTAAACAAAACATCAATGGCATTAAAAATTCGGGACTTTGAAAATGGATGCACATTCTGGACTCAAGTAGGCAGAAATATTCTTTGGGGATATCCAGAGATGATCTAGTACAAGTAAGGTTAAGTATGATTTAATATAAAAAGAGTGAAGGGCGAAATACTGGACAGAACTTGATTGAATTAAGGTAATGTTACTTTTTTTATAAATATTCTAGGAGGGTGACTTTTTTGAGTCAGAAATGCTAAGGCACAGCAGGACCTGCCTTACTGTAAGATGTGCCTTTTGGAGGCCTCACATACTGACTACTGAAACAACAAACAAGTAACTAGCGAGACCATTCACTTTGGAAGATTAAAAATAGATGACTCATTGCATTCCAACAACAGAACAAGCCTAAACCTTGCATTAGTTATATCCCATACATGTCGGTTTTGGGTCTTTGCTCTCATGACTCTTCGCCAAACCTTGCAATGTTCCCAATCCTGAGCAACAGACTCAAGGGAAATGGTTGGGATTTTGAGCATCTTGTGACAAAGCTGCATTACACAGCCTTTCCACTCTGCACAATGTCTGACAACTGGCCCTTCACCAGTCATTCTGGACTGAGAAACTCTGTTTGGATTTTTCTCAGGGGAATGTGGCAAACTTGCCAAAACCAATGGAATGGAGATCACTTGATCTGGAGAAATACCCAATAATCCTTAAGATCCTAACATAAGGTGGCCATAGGTATCACATCAAAAAAGTATTACACCAGCCAGTCGATATCAGAACCTCACTTTGGCAGCTTCAGCTTGTGATCTGATTCTAATAATTACTCTCACGAAGTTCATGGCCATAATAAAGGATTGGAAAAAAAAATTGGGAAACATAAATGAAGATCTTTGGAGATATCCATTTGCGAATCACTGTCCACCAGAGTTTCTGCTAAATTGTGGAGGGCCTGGAGATGCGATTGTCTATATCTTTTGCATATCACCCATTGCTTGAAAAGAAAAGATCACTGATGTCTCTGTCCGATTTGCAGGACCTACTTTCCGGCGAGTGAAATGTCGATTTTCAAATGCTGTTCGAGGCAGTCGTAAATCGTAGTACTCGATTTCGGATGAAAACCAGCTTTTACCGGAAATTTCCGAAGCCACAATCGTTCGTTTCGGTGTTTTCACATATAATTCTTTCCGAAAGGAATGTCGATTTTCTGCTGCTGTTCGAGGCACTCGTACACAATGTGGCAGAGTTCTCGATTTCCATTGGAAACAAGCTTTTACCGGAATTTTCGGGCGTCGCGGTGCTATTTGCAGGACGTCTTATCTCGCAAGCAAAATGTCGATTTTCTGCTGCTGTTCGAGGCACTCGTACACAACGTTGCAGAGTTCTCGATTTCGGATGGGATGCAGCTTTTCCCGGAAATTTACGGCATCGCGGTGCTATATGCAGGACCTATTATCTCGCGAGCGAAATGTTGATTTTCTGCTGCTGTTCGAGACTCTCGTACACAATGTGGCAGAGTTCTCGATTTCTATTGGAAACCGGCTTTTACCGGAAATTTCCGGAGACACTTTCGGTGTTTTCACATCTAATTCTTTCCGAAAAGAATGTCGATTTTCTGCTGCATTTCGAGGCTCTCGTACACATTGTGGCAGAGTTCTCGATTTCTATTAGAAACGACCTTTTACGGGAAATTTCCGGAGACAAAAGTTTTTTCCAAGCTTCGTTTAGAAAGAGCAAAATATCGATTTTCTGCTGCTGTTCGAGGCACTCGTACACAATGTGGCAGAGTTCTCGATTTCTATTGGAAACGAGCTTTTACCGGAAATTTCCGGCGTCGCGGTGCTATTTGCAGGACGTCTTATCTCGCGAGCAAAATGTCTATTTTCTGCTGCAGTTCGAGACACTCGTACAAAATGTGGCAGAGTTCTCGATTTCGGATGGGATGCAGCTTTTACCGGAAATTTCCGGAGACACAATCGTTTTTTCCAAGCTTCGTTTAGAAAGAGCAAAATATCCATTTTCTGCTGCTGTTCGAGGCACTCGTACACAACGTTGCAGAGTTCTCGATTTCGGATGGGATGCAGCTTTTCCCGGATATTTACGGCATCGCGGTGCTATATGCAGGACCTATTATCTCGCGTGAAATTTCCGGAGATATCTTCCCTCATTCCATTCTTATTTCCGAAAGAGCAAAATATCGATTTTCTGCTGCTGTTCGAGGCACTCGTACACAATGTGGCAGAGTTCTCGATTTCGGATGGGATGCAGGTTTTACCGGAATTTTCCGGAGACAATCGTTTTTTCCAAGCTTCGTTTAGAAAGAGCAAAATATCCATTTTCTGCTGCTGTTCGAGGCAGTCGTACACAATGTGGCACAGTTCTCGATTTCTATTGGAAACGAGCTTTTACCGGAAATTTCCGGCGTCGCGGTGCTATTTGCAGGACGTCTTATCTCGCGAGCAAAATGTCGATTTTCTGCTGCTGTTCGAGGCACTCGTACACAATGTGGCACAGTTCTCGATTTCTATTGGAAACGAGCTTTTACCGGAAATTTCCGGAGATATCTTCCCTCATTCCATTCTTATTTCCGAAAGAGCAAAATATCGATTTTCTGCTGCTGTTCGAGGCACTCGTACACAATGTGGCAGAGTTCTCGATTTCGGATGGGATGCAGCTTTTACCGGAAATTTCCGGAGATATCTTCCCTCATTCCATTCTTATTTCCGAAAGAGCAAAATATCGATTTTCTGATGCAGTTCGAGGCACTCGTACACAATGTGGCAGAATTCTCGATTTCGGATGGGAAGGAGCTTTTACCGGAAATTTCCGGTGTCTCGGTGCGATTTGTAGGACCCCTTTTCTCGCGAGCAAAATGTCGATTTTCTGCTGCAGTTCGAGGTACTCGTACACAATGTGCCAGAGTTCTCGATTTCTATTGGAAACGAGCTTTTACCGGAAATTTCCGGCGACAATCGTTTTTTCCAAGCTTCGTTTAAAAAGAGCAAAATATCGATTTTCTGCTGCAGTTCGAGGCACTCGTACACAATGTGGCAGAGTTCTCGATTTCGGATGGGATGCAGCTTTTACCGGAAATTTCCGGCGTCGCGGTGCTATTTGCAGGACGTCTCATCTCGCGAGCGAAATGTCGATTTTCTGCTGCTGTTCGAGGCACTAGTACACAATGTGGCAGAGTTCTCGATTTCGGATGGGATGCAGCTTTTACCGGAAATTTCGGGAGACAATCGTTTTTTCCAAGCTTCGTTTCGAAAGAGCAAAAAAAAATGTCGATTTTCTGCTGCTGTTCGAGGCACTAGTACTCAATGTGGCAGAGTTCTCGATTTCGGATGGGATGCAGCTTTTACCGGAAATTTCCGGAGACACAGTCGTTTTTTCCATGCTTCGTTTCGAAAGATCAAATCATTGTTTTTCTATCGCCCCTTTTAGGCAGATGTACGCAATGTGGCAGAAACGAGCTTTTACCGGGAATTTCCGGCGTTTCGGTGCGATTTGCAAAACCTCTTATCTCGCGAGCGAAATGTCGATTTTCTGCTGCTCTTCGATGCACTCATACACAATGTGGCAGATTTCTCGAATTCTGTTGAAACGAGCATTTATAGGAAATTTTCGTCGTCTCGGTGCTATTTGCAATACCTCTTATCTCGCGAGCGAAATGTCGATTTTGTGCTGCTCTTTGAGCCAGTCGCACAGAATGTGGCAGAGTTCTCGATTTCTATTGGAAACGAGATTTTGCCAGAAATTTCCATAGACAGTCGTTTTTTCCATGCTTCGTTTTGAAAGAGCAACATATCGATTTTCTGCTGCAGTTCGAGGTACTCGTACACAATGTGCCAGAGTTCTCGATTTCGGATGGGATGCAGGTTTAACCGGAAATTTCGGGAGACAATCGTTTTTTCCAAGCTTCGTTTCGAAAGAGCAAAAAAAAATATCGATTTTCTGCTGCTGTTCGAGGCACTCGTACACAATCTGGCATAGTTCTCGATTTCGGATGGGATGCAGCTTTTCCGGGAAATTTCCGGTGTCTCGGTGCGATTTGCAGGACCTCTTTTTTCGCGAGGGAAATGTCGATTTTTTTGCTGCTGTTCGAGGCACTTGTAACTTCAAACCTTGACACTTCGTTGACCTCAAGACTGATAGATTCTATACCGTCCCAGGGGAGGATATTGGGAGAGAGGTAGCATAAGTAGGCTACAAAAATTATGGTATTAGAATCAGGGACGGTCTTGGGGCTCAGAGAATGGAAACACAGTTTGCAGGATGGGGGCTACACAAGTTAGGTTAGCGGTAGCAGCCTTTTAGGTATGGTTAAAAGTTTATTTTTATTATGCAACAGTTTAATAGGTCACATCTTACATTAAAAAGTTGGCCCAGCCTAAATGTTAACATGGCCCTGTGGCCTGCTTGTAGCAACAGCATGGCACCTCCAAGAGCGAGACTGATTTGGAGAACCTATGTAAGAAAACTTCAATGAAAAGTTAAAAAGAGACTCACTGAAGCTCTTCAGGAGTATGATATCTGCCAACCCAGTGTTTAGGTTCTTAATCAGTCTCCCAGTGACAACAGAATTGTGGAAGACATTCCCAAGGGGGAAATTCCACTGATTTTCTCCTCTCTCTCACAGCTGCACACTCAGCTCTTTCCCAGCAGCATCATAGCAGAGTTGCCCTACCTGGGCCCAGCTTTCAATAAGGAACACCATGGCATCCAAAGGAACACCATGGCATCCATATTATGGGATTGACAGTAAAATTCCCATCGACTGTGTTCACATGGAGGGACTGTCAACAGCAGGTATATTGTCACCGTCCTGCAATCCGCTCTCCAACTTGCATTTAGTCGATCATGGTCAGGCATGCTTTGCCAGGGCATCACACCATTCACACTTCCTTTTTCCTTTTGCCTTTTTCCTTAGGAAACTACATTTTGTGTCCTCTGCCATACTATTTTAATCTAGCACCATCTGACTTTCAGCCTATCCCTGTCCTGAAATATTTTCTCCATGGATGGAGTTTGGACACCCATGATGATCTAACCCTAATTTTTGAACAATGGCTTATTGAATGCCTGAATTGTGCAGGTTTGGCCTTAGGCCAACCTGCATTTTTTTACAAGTGCAGGTGTTCAATAAGTGGGTGCTTTATTGGGTGAAGTGTCAAATTGCATATGATACTATATGGAAAAATGAGGTGTTCACATGTATAAGCGGTTATGTAGAGACATTAGCTGGCACTGCACCAGGCTTGTATTATATCAGCAATTTTGCCATATTTGCATTTTCACTAGTAACTAATAATGTACAATCATTGGTACTATAAATAATAACTTTTACCAGATTTCACTTACTACTTTTTCTTCTACTATCCATTGCAAAATATTTTTCCACAACCAGGAGGATGAGTTAAAAAATGGTAACTTCAGTCATACTTTCACTGCTTGGGGAAGATTAGTAACTGCTGAGTTACAGTTTTACAATCACAGAATGTATTGGTTTTTATTTTACTTCTCAGTTGCGAGAACAGTATTTGAAATGCAGTTGCAACCAAGTCTGCATTGTTGCATGTCACAAAGGCTGGAGGGTGGAGTTTCAGTCAAGAGGTACAATCAAGGGCTTTCTATGGATGAATGAACTTAACTTACAAGGACTTCAGCAGGGAAAAAAAAGGACAGAGCATCTGATGATTGATATCATCCAAGAATTAACTGCAGCAAATGACTCACCAAATACTTTCTTTAAGGAGAAATTATGTTGGAGCATCTCCTGATTGTTCACCACAGCCCATTGACCCTCACTCTTAGTAGTATGAGGATTATGATTCCTCATCCCAGGGATTTGGCTCTTCTATCAGAGAAAAGAGGGGAAAAAATAAAAATTGGTTCAAATTCAGGACATGAAGGTTGTACAGAATGAATGAATGGCGCAGCCTAGCATCTCATGCTCTTCACTTTCACTATTCTATTTTATTGCAATGCAAAAAAACTGCCTCTAATACAAGCTCTTCCTTGTGGATGCACTTAGCCAGGTGGAAAATGTTATCAAAACATGAGACTCTGCAAGCATTCTGATGAGTGATGAAGCAGAGTGAGAACACTCCAAGTAAGGATTCATCAGCATTAGGTAAAACAAAGTTCATTCAAGGCATTATCTTCAGCAAACAGCCAGTTCCCTAGGACATCATTCTTCACAATAAAGTCAGCCTTTGCACTTTGACACTCCTCATCTTTGGACAATAAAAAGGGAGCCTCATGTGTCATAGCCAGAGCATCCTAGAGATTTGAGACAAATAATTGTAGTCACCTGCATTGTCCAACATAAAGGAATCTCCTTTGACAGCCTTGGCTTCCAGGGCTTCAGTCTGCTAGGTGAGTTTTTCCAGGTTCATGGATGGGACATACTGCTCCTCCTCCATAGATGAAACCTATAGGAAATTGAAAGTTGAAACTGGCTAAGTATGCAATCTGGTTGTGACTACTATTGTGCTACAGCACTTTCCCAACACCCTGATCAATCAAAGAGAACCAATCAGTGCACTTTCAAGGGAAATCTCTAAGCCACAATACTTCTTGCTTAAGAATGAGTTGAGATCATTAAATGGTGAGCATGTGGTGGGAATTTGGCTTGGCATTGATCCTTGTTACTGCTAGTCATCATCTGCATCTATCAAGATTAAGAAATGAAACTGAAGGTGGAATGTCATGTTAGATAATTTGTACAGTGTACAGAAATCAGAAACAACATAAACCTCATTACAGACAAATGACTATCTCAACAACTGAATGGATCTTGAAAGAAAGCCGAAAGATTCCAACTATTCAATACAATTACATTCATCTTACCAAAAAAGGCATATCATTTTTGGGAAATGTAGCCATGCCTTCCCCAACCTAATAACAAAAGCTTTCTTTCCCCAGGAAGTTTCACAGCAAAAACAAGGGACACTAAAGGGGAAGGGGAAAACAGCTGAAACAAAGCATAACTTGATGGAGGAGGAACACATGCACTATGAGGAAAAGTACTGTGAAAGGCAGAGGCACAAACATACAGAACTCCCTTCCTCTCAGTTAAACGCAATGTGCTCCACTCACTCTTCTTATGCAGGCTCCTACATATTTGGACTACACCTTCACTACTCTTCTTTTGGCTGACTTGGTATTTTTCATATGAGCCTCCCTTCTCTCCGCATTGCAAGTTGAATCAAGGTCCCAGTTGTTGTGGCAGACTTGCATGGAGGCAAGAAAATATGCATCTCTCTTGCCCAGCAGAGATATAGCGGACTACAAAATCACTTGGCCTACTTCTGGATTCATCATAGGTTTTGAATTTTGTTGAACTGCTTGTTCCAAGGAAGGTATCATGTTAACTGAATCAACCGAATGAATTCTAGCTTAAATCTGGCACTTTCTCCTGAGATTGACTGCTTCATAGTGTATCCATGCAATTTAGATCATAATTGGTTTTATAATTGTAGAGTTCTTCACAGTATTCCATCTTCATGCAACTTCAGTGGCTTCAGTTAGAAGAGTTTCATCTTTTGACTTAATGGTGTAAGATCTTATAGAATGTTGTATCCCTCTGCCAATCTCTTTGAGCTTTAGGCTTTCATGAATTTCATTGGCCTCCACCAGTTCTCTGCATGTTTTGCCTATTGAATTCTTTTGGTCATTGGCGACAGACATTGTTAGCTACTGCATTGCACTTTGCGCTTGGCCTTTGATAGAATTGGCATCAGTTCTGCTCTTTTGTCATTTTCAGAGTATTTCTTGGTCTTCAAAATTTTCTTTCTTTCTGTCATAACCTGGAACTTCTTCAGTTACTTTGTGAAAGGGAGATTCAAGCCTTTCAAGTTCATCAGAGGTCTCCATTATTATAACCTCTCAGGCTGTGAATCTGTCATGAAACATGAGCTCAGCATTTCTACAGGTATATTGCATTTCATGAATTTGTATGTCATGTAATTGGTTTTTGGGAAGACAGCAAAGAGCAATAATAAATGCAGAAGTATTGATGGAAGTCAGGGTCAAAAAGCAGTGTGCATCAGTGCTTCACCCAGGGACTGCTTCTTTTTTAAACTTACATTAAATAATTTAGAGAAAGGCCTTGTGAATAAAATCAGAAAATATGCCAATGACACCAAAATAGGCTGCTCCCTTATGGCAGGGTGAGAGCCTAGCAGAATTCATAGTTTTTGGAAGAGTGGAGTAAGAAATGGCTCATGAAATTTAATAAAAGTAAGTGTAAGGTTCTTCACATGGGTCATAATAATGACAGACCTTGGAACAAATTTAATGCAGATAAACTGGGGGAGGCAAACAGAGAGATAAACTTGCGGATCACTATTATTGAGAAACTCCAGTTTTTCTCCAATCCAAAAGGGACAGTAGCCAAAAGTAACAGGATCCTAGGCTTCATCCAACACTTCATGGCCATTAAGAGCTTGTTTTACTTTTCTTTTGTTGCATGTGGTGCCAGTATGACTCCATTTTGAGCACTGCATCCAATTTTGAAGCCTACAAATGAAGGGAACTATTGGCGCTAGTGAGGGTCAAGAGGCAGGCTGCAAGAATGATCGAGAAGGTAAGAGGACTTCCATATTATAAGAATTTACAAGTGCAGGGACTGTACTCCCTCAAAAGGGGATCAACAAAGGGGAACTTCTCCAGGCATTTAAGATTCTTAAGGAAATTGATAACATAGATTATTGGTAGGTTTTTCCAGTTCAATGGCAGTAACAGAGAGCAGGAACCAACTTAAGTTGTATAAACTTAAGTTAGGCTATGGTTGCAATGTGACTTTGCTATTTGTTGAACATGTGGAATGCATCAGGTGATGTAGAAAGGTACTCCTTCCAAGCCCAGCTTCAAGAGGAGGTTAGATGCCTTCATGAACCAAAAGAATAGGGAGCGATTTTGATGTACACAGACTTGACAGAAGTAAATGCAGACCCACTGAATTTTGGATGGGAAATCCCAGGCAAAATAATGAACTTGGCAACTAAGAACAAGTAGGGGAAGGAAGTAATAATGCTACTAGTATCTCATCAGTGCTACACTTGGCTTCAGAATGACCCAATGCACTTTGAAACTTGTGTGTCAATTTACTTCTGTCATATCTAAGTGACAAGGCATTAGGTGGATATGCTCCCACAAAAATATCTACTTTATAGAGGATAGATCTTTCTTATGATGCATGAATGTTCAACCTTAACATGGGACACTCTTAAACAGGTGAAAATGCCTCTTGACATCCCAACCTGAACTTTAAACTTTGAAAGGGAAAAACAATCCTGGAGTGGGAGTTCAAGCATTTCTGAGGGGCAGCTGAAATTTCACAAGTTTTCCAGGAAGCCATAGAAGGAAATTGCTGCAGATCTGTAGAAGAAAAAAACAGCACTTAATGAAATAAAACACCATCAGAACAAAGACGACAATGATTCATTAAAAAGACTTGTTGACTTAAAACTAGCCTTTGAAGTTCAATTTTGGAGAGAGGAATGGGTGACTTGAGTTGCTTAGATGATTTATCAGTAGGATGGAGATTCCACCATTGTCTAAATGGTGAGGAAAAGATCTAACACCTCACAATCCCCCAGCTACTTCCAACAGCATCCTGTGACGATTCAAGCCCAGCACAGGCACAGTTGAAGTCCATTATACTCTCTTGTGAGGCTGCAGATAAAAATTGCCAATGAAACAACTATGCAAGATAGAAGCATAACATTTCAAAGAGTCATAACTCAAATAAAACTTATTTGTATACAAGACAATCATCATCATCTGTGTGAATGACTGAGGAATAGAGATGACATTTCTGTGGAAATGTCATCATATGCAATGGACATCTACAGGGATCACCTTATTCCCAATGCAAATAGCCATGCCACTGCACCATCATGAATAACAACCTTAACAACCACAGGAAAGTCCACCAAATGGAGTGTCATTTAAAATGAATCAATGCCATCACTGAGCAGGCAAAATGGGTGGGGGAGAGTTAACCCCATTCTCCTTCCTCATCAGCACATGGGTCAGTATGTAGTAGGATGTCCTTGATTGGAGTCCCTGGACCAACATTAAGTCATTTTCATTGAGTGAGGGACTTCAATGTTTCAAAAAACTTCCTGATAGGCAGACTGTGTCTGCACATTAGGAAATCCAACAAAACGTTGTGAAATGCATTGCAAATTCTAGTATCTCCAAGAATTTAGAGGGAATATCACCAGCCTGAGATGTCAAATAACTTGGTGACTGTCAGATATATATATTCTGATTGATAGTGATATCGGATGCATCCATAATATTTTCTGGAAAAAAAAAATTCGAAAAAAAAGAATGACAAATCACAGACATGATGGCTAGCTTATCATGGGCATAGGACCCTCATGGACATAGGACCAAAAAAGGCAGTCATGAATGTCAACCAATAAAGAAGACTTAGTCCTCTCAGCTCTACCTCTTTCCTACTACTTAAGCACAGATTTGGGTCTCTCAGAGAAAGAGTGAGAGTGACAGTCATCTCAACAGAGGTGAAGCCTCAACATTAAGGGGACAGCAGTGGCAGGAACTGTTGGCTAGGACTTAGATGATGATCAGAGATGAGGGCTTCAACAGTTGGCTCCTGCATGCCAAGATGCTTGCAATTAACATCATTGCCATCAGTGAAGAAAATAGAAGACACTTAAAGATTTGATTAAAAATAACAATGCCTTCACAGGAAAGAACATCTGAAATTGAGCTTATAACTAAACTTGGCAGCAGAGTTATTATTTAAGTTATAATGGTTTACTGGTCAATGAGCTGATTGTTGAGGTTGTCATACACCAATAGACTTTCTTTGAATGTTCACTGAGAAGGCAAATATGTTTCACGGGTTTTGTCCGCTGTATTGTAAGGATTGCTTCATGATCAGCGTTCACACTAGCTATGCTAAATCTTGAGTCCTGGCGCCAAGCTTCAGCTCAGTGGGAACATGTTCAGGTGGTTGTCAATGAGTCCCATGGACTTGGATGTTCTGGAAATATGAGTACCTCCAAGAAAATATGAGTCAGGGACTTGCTATAGCAATTTAATATGAACCCAGATGGTTAAACTGATTTTACTTTTGTTAAAGCTAATTTTAGAATGGGTAAAACATGCATTACATTTTCAACCTGCAATCAAATACTATGATTTAGCTCAAATATCAACAAGCTTGTGTAATTAGAGTTCATGATCAAATCAAAACTGATAGCATGAGCTCATAGTTCATATATGAGCAAGATCATGGTGCCTGATAATGGCATAACTGTCACTTCACCCCAGAATTTT